GACCGAGGCAATTCTGAAAAGCAATAGGTGTATATTTCTCTGTTTGTAAGGCAGACATCAACAGCATGAAGGTAAAATTATCCTTAAATTGTATTATTTAGACGCTGAACTATTAGTAAAGCGGCGAGCAGTCTTAAGACAAACTCTGTCAGATGAGCTAATATTTTTCAAGTTGCGAGAATTCCCGTAAAAATTCGAGGGATAAATGGACGCACATAGTTTTGCTGACGATAAATTCTCCTGAGTTAATAACAACATAAATATTCAGGCCAATGGTTTCTTAGTTGGGGAAGTGTACGTGGTTCAAAATTCTATAATTTGTGGAATTATCTGGCTGATCTGAACAGCAACGCCATTCCTCTAACTAGATAAAAGACGGCTGCATAAAAAGTACGGAGGCTTCACGCAGAACGTTCGCGAAAGGCATCTCACATAATTTACGACAAGACCATGCACATAAAACCACTTCGTACGTAGCAGACGCACGCAACCCTTGTCAGTCTATGCAAAATGTGAAGAAACCTTAAGACTCGACCCTAACATGCCCTAGCAACAAAGTGGTACCTACACGATACCACAATACTCATCCGTAATTTATTGCGACAGCTGGGTTCTAAATGTTGATGCCGAATTCAGTACAGAAGACTAGCATTCACTCGCACGAGGTTCTTGTATACATCGGCTTATTTTGTAAAAGCTATTCACCTTAGTATTATATGTTTCCGTCCACTAATATGTACATGCTAGTGTACAGCTCTTTATAGGTAGTCTTACATATTTCTACTCGATCGCGGTTTGCGTCGGCGCCTTGGAGGACATCCTCCAGGCACGCGTACGTTAAAAGTCAGTCATTCGATGGAGAAGAAGAACAAGGGCGCTTGAGCCTCTAGCGGTGTTGTTCGATATTATATTTATAGCTAGGGAGATTTAAACTTACCAAAAAAACAAAAAGTATCAGTATTAGTTTATTTTAGGGATATATGGGTAGATTGCCTTTGAGTTCCCTATATGGAATGGAGTATAGTCATTTCTATAGAAATGAGCGATTGTGGTTAATTAAGTAGAGGAATCATGCTGTATGCCCACCGTTTTCCTATGCTTTCAAAAATTTGTTAAAGAGTCGAATAATATCCGTCGGACAAAAATGACAGACTCGAAACAGTGTGCCGAACATACGCTATCTGCTCACAATCGAGTCACCTGATGGCAATTTCCAAGGTGCAAAGGTTCTACTGGTCCGACCTAGGACCAGTAGAATCTTTGCATGTAGCACATTATTATATGGGGCCGGCAGATTTCCCAAATGTCTCCTGCTTGTTTTTGGAAAGGCGCACGCTATACTATTGCTACTAAGACCACGACCTATACGCCCGGCTCACGATCAGAAACGGCAGTTTACATGCTTTACCTACCGACCGCCGCATATTTCAGGGTTAAAACAGAAACTGCCGACAACACAGACAAGCACGCGGCAAAACTCAGAGGCACAATCATCAGCAGAATACCTAACCACCTGGCAAAGCAAAATTTCGCGTCAGAGTGGGCTCAGTCAAACAATCCCGCACGCTGGGAAAATCAACCACAGTAATTGCAGCTATCAATAATTTAAAAATAGCACAGTTATTTTCCGACGTTTCTGCCTTTTTATGCCTAGAAAGGAGAAGCACATTATCTAATTCGTTCGACTGGTTTTGTTTTGTTGAAAATGCCTCAAGTCTATGTACTCATTTGTCCGTCGGGAACAAACATGCCTAAAATGTTTGGAGGTGTGCGTAGGGCACGTAAACCAGTGAGAGGCGGAATTTATTATATGCATCGACATAGATACCGTAAATATAAACGTCAACAGAAAAAAAACAACTCAAAAGTTTTTCAGACTCTAAATGATCAAACTGTAATATAGTTTACTGATGCCTCGTAAGAAACATACCGAATCTTTTCCTCGGGTGAAGGTGAGCTTCCAATGCAAAAACCTATTGCATATTGAACGTTCGATAAATTGACGTAACCT